GTCCTCACACCCCTCACCGTGGGTCAGGGCTGTGTGCTGACTCACACCTGGTCCTCACACCCCTCACCGTGGGTCAGGGCTGTGTGCTGACTCACCATCCATACTCACACCCCTCACCGTGGGTCAAGGCTGTGTGCTGACTCACCATCCATACTCACAACCCTCCCTGTGGGTCAGGGCTGTGTGCTGACTCACACCTGGTCCTCACACCCCTCACCGTGGGTCAGGGATGACTCGCCTGGTCCTCACACCCCTCACTGTGGGTCAGGCCACTGGTCTCGGCAGGATCACTTGGCTCAACCTCCACGTCTGAAATGGCCTCTGATTCCTTGGCCTCTCACACCGTCCTCTGGCCCACCCTGGTTGGTCCCTGGCAGGCTCTTGATGTCCTACTCTGCCCCTTCCACTGCTCACTTTGGGAGTCTGTGCCCCACCCTCCTCTTTTCAAACCACGGAAGCACTCAGCAGACATAGTATCAGCATGCAGAGCCAACCGGTGGCAGCAGACTTACAGTGGGAGCAGGAGGGGCAGCATTCGCCGTCAACGAAGGATGGGTTGGCACAGTTTGCTGGTGGGCACGAGATTTGGTGGCAAATGGTTTTAAATTTCTGCAAGTAAAGAAATGCCTTCCTAGAACTCTTTAAAAGTCACAGCCCTGGGGACACGGCTGTGGCAGGGCTGTTCCTCCGCAGAGCCGACCGGACAGTGTGTGGCCTGCTCTTCTGTCCCCACTGCCACGGCTGGAGACGGCAGCGGGGGACCAGGGTGGAGGACGTGCTCTTCCACTGTCAGGTGTCTGAGACAGGGCCTCACAGAAGCTGAGCCACCAGCAGACTAAAGGGTCTCACTAACTCTGATAATGACTTGTGTTTTCCCAGACGGGTCTGTGGCACAGCTGAGTGGGAAATCTGGGTGGCTTCTAGTGGTTTTTACTCCCTGAGGGTTGACCAAGTGACTCAACTCCTCTGAGATTATTTTTCTGTACATGCCAAGCAAAGAGACTGGCGTGAAGTCACCTAAAGCGCTCATCCTCCCCCTTCCTTCTGAATCTGAACACATTAAACAGCCCTGAAGGTGTGGGTCTCGTGCGGTAGGTTGTACGCGTGCTCGACGGTGGTGAGCAGTGAGACCCCTGGGTGGCTGTGGCTTTCTGTGGCCTCACCTTGCAGGTGCACGAAGTACAGCTATCCATCACCCACGTTTCATTTTCTGCAAAGAACCGACCATCCTGCAAGCAGCCTGATACGTTCCTGGTCTTCAGAGGGCCTCCAACGAGCTCCAAGAGAAACTGGTTATCATCCGACTGGAAATGAGGATAGAGGTTAGGTACAAGAGAGCTCAGCACATTCAGTCACAAAGTATGTGTGTATGTGTATGTGTGTGAGCTCAATATATTTATCATTTACATATGTTTATGTGTGTTTATGTTTGCTCATCCTGTGTGTGTGTGAGCTCAGTGTATTCGGTCACTGTGTGTGTGTGTGTGTGTGTGCTCACGTGTATTTTGTCAGTGTATGTGTGCAAGGTGCCCCTCCTTCACAGAAGACCTCTCAAGTCAAGCGCAAACCCACCGTGTGGGAGATGGACAAAGCAGGCAGCATTCGGATCTGAGGAAGGCTTCCCAGAGAGGGTTCACAGCACAGAGCACCGCCCCACACTGCTGTTCCTCTTCTACACGTGAACACACAGACACGGACCCCACTGCTCTTCCTCTGTGCCATTTCAGGGAGCCACCGCCTGACTTCACATCTCTGACTTCACATTGCCAGTCTTTGCTCAGGGGCATGTTTCGGTTGGAGAGCGAGAAGCTACCAGTCAGGGGCCTGCCTCTGTTTCCCTTGCTGTCATTCCAGGTTGGCTGGCCTTGACTGACCCACCACACAGCCTCGTTCCTTTGTAGTACAGGAGTGATCCACTGCACCACGGGGAAGGGGTGGCATTGATGCATAAGTGACCTTGCGGCAGGACACAGCCTCCGTCCCAAGGAACAACCCCAACAGAGCACCACACACATCTCCCATTTCCTCTTTTAGAGTAGGAACCCTCCAGGAAGTCTGCCTGTGAGGGCTAGTGTGGGGCCCCTGCGTTCCCACAAGGTTCCAGAGACGCACCTGATCATCGGTGCCTCCTGGCTGATGTTTTCAGGACCACTCCTCCATCTGCCTCTCAGAGAAGTGGGAATCCTGTTACTCTTCTCCTACCAGAACTACACAGAACAACCGAGGCCTACAGGACTGTCCCCAAACAACCCACACCTACAGGACAGACCCCGAACACCCACACCCACAGGACAGACCCCGAACACCCACACCCACAGGACAGACCCCGAACACCCACACCCACAGGACAGAC